TGCTCCTGGACATGCCTTCATAATGCAGTTTCTTTAGCTCCATTCTCTATACATTATACTTGTTACTAAAATTGGACGAGTTTTAATGTTTAGGCATATGGACACAAAGCAGCATATTACCATGGCAGCATGGATGCTTCTCAGCGTGCAAATGTGCAGAAACAATGGAGCAAAGATGAGATCAATATTATTTGCGCAACTGTTGCTTTTGGAATGGGTATATTGACTATTCATAAAACGCCATATCTATGTTCAAAACCACAAGCTAGCTTAACCCATGGAATTCATTTCAGGTATCAATAAGCCAGATGTACGTTTTGTCATTCACCATTCACTGCCAAAATCTATAGAAGGCTACCATCAGGTGGTTATCGAGAGTTCATCTTCAACTGCATCCTTTTTCTTCTCTAGATCTGCTTTTCTTTCTGTTTTTTAAATTATTTAAAAGATCAGTTAGTTACACAAAATGACACCTCCATGCTGCAGGAGTGCGGACGTGCTGGTAGAGACGGCCAACCTTCATCTTGTGTGCTGTATTACAGCTACAGTGATTATGTATTGATCCTTTTATGTATATTTTTCCTTTACTCTTTCTGAGTTTATTTGTAGTAGTATTCCATGGATGCTATTCTTGGAATGTAAATAATTTTTCTTGTTTTATTTCATTTTATTATTTGTAGATAAGAGTGAAGCATATGATTAGCCAATGCAATGTAGAACAAGGTGCTTTCACACCTGGTTATGGCTCTTCTAGCATGACAACCTCTGGGAATATACTGGAAATGAACACTGAGAATCTTTTGAGAATGGCATGTGATGGAACTTGATACTTGCTGTTCTGTATTATATTAATTATTGTACCTTATGCGTAAGAGTAGTGTATCAATTTAATTTCAGGTTAGCTACTGTGAGAATGATGCTGATTGTAGACGCCTCCTTCAGCTTATTCATTTTGGTGAAAAGTTTGACTCTGTCAACTGCATGAAAACTTGTGACAACTGCTCAAAGGCTCAGAGCTGTGTCGAAAAGGATGTTTCTGGAACCGCAAAACAATTAGTTAGGACACAAACTAATCAGCATTCAATCATTTACTTCATTTTTGTGACATAATTTTATAGTCCTTCTTTTGACTGATCAGGTTGAGTTAGTGAAGATGACAGGACAGCAGTTTTCATCAGCTCATATATTGGAAGTGTTTAGGGGTTCCTTGAACCAATTTGTATGTCCTAGCTGCAAGTTACTTTTAATGATTTATATTGATTCTTTTCTAATCTTGTATATATTTTGCTGTTTCCGGGCTAGGTTAAAAAACATGGACATGATAAATTGAGCATGCATGGAGCTGGAAAACATCTTGCAAAAGGTGAAACATCCCGAGTGTTGCGCCACCTTGTCACTGAAGATATTTTAACGGAGGATGTTAAAAAAAGCGATACCTATGGCTCTGTATCATCAATATTGAAGGTAGAGTGATGCTTGTTGGTGTTTGAGGTGGCTTGTATTCAAGGAATAAGTGCTTTTTAGAGGAAGAAAAGTTTTTTTACTTCTGAATGAAATGTTTGAAAATGGAATCGTTATTTGCAACAGCAAAAACAGTTTTAGTGCTTATTCTATTTAAGGAAGTACGTAGTATCACATTAGTCTTTTTGCAGGAAAACACTAAGTTATTAAATGAAAAAAGTCAAAACACATTGTGAACAAATCACATATATTTCAACCTATCCCAATTCCCAAACATGCTCTTTGATACAGGTTCGTGTCTTTCTACTTTCAGGTGAATCAGTTCAAAGCCAATATCCTCTTTGCCCCTGGACATATAGTTAAATTAAGGTATATATTTGTAGTGAAAGATGTAATTTTTTGTGTCATTTGGTTACAATAACAGCATTATACTGATACTTTTATTTAAATTTTCTAATAAGAATAAATCAGCATGATAGGAAAGGGATAATTACTTTGATAGTCGGTATCCTGATACCTGATTGTTCTTTCTTAGATCCGTCTCCTACATTTATGATATAACAAGAATGAAAGATCTTGCATGAGTCTACATTTTTTTGTGTGCAGATTCCCATCATTTTCCAATGCATATAAGACCGGTAAAGTGGAAACGACTCCTGCAAAATCCACACTAGTATCCACAAAAGAACCTAAGGATGAGACGGTATGCCTGTGACTGGATGTGAATACATGAGCCTTTTAATATATATATGTGTGTGTATATATATGTATATACATATTATATATTTGATGCGTAGTTTAAACAAGAAGTATGATATGTTTTTCTTTCTTTATGTTGTGTTCATGTAGAGTCTGTCAGCCAAACTGTACAATGCAATACGAACTCTTCGAACTAATCTGCTTAGGGAAGCAGGAGATGGAGTCAATGCTTACCATATATTTGGGTACACATTTTTTCATTCATTTCATTCAACAATAAATCTTAGCATTTGCAATCAATTGTTGTATGCAATATGACTAATTTTCACGTATTTTTTCATTTTTCTTAAATGTAAGCATCACTAATACCACTTGTACAGTTGTACCATATGATATATCTATCATATGAGTCTGGTTATTACTTATCAGACTGCACCCCCACAAAAATTTTTTAACAATAAAAATATTAAAATAATCTCAGAGTCCCTTTACAATCGATGTAATTTAACAAAAGCCCCTTTGTCCCCATTTAAACTCTTGATTCTCTTTTTATTCAGTTTGAGGCTTGATAATGTCATACTGATAAAAACCATTTCTCTGGCATGTTTAGAAATGCTACACTGCAGAACCTTAGCAGGAGGATACCCAGGAACAAGGATGAACTGCTAGAGGTCAAGGGTATGGGCATGTAAGTTTCAGAAAGTTGATTTTGTTTTATATAATTGCAAAGTGTCACCAAACGCATTACTGAGCATGTATGTGGGGCAATATCATCCAGTGCTAAAGTTAACAAATATGGAGACCGAATATTGGAAACCATAGAGGCGACCATCAGGGCCTACTCCAGCAGTGGTAGTAGCAATGAGAGTCCAGATTCGGGGGGCAAGAGAAAAGGTGACAACTTTGTTGAAACCACGGCGTGTTCCAAGAAACGGGTTTCAAACAAGCAATGCAAACAAAAAAAGGGAAAGCAGATTGATTATGAGGAACTGGGATACTACGATGACTGCATCGATACTGATTTTGATTTTGAGGAGAACACCAACCCCCAAACCAATGGCTCGGCTGCAAAAGCCAACGGTGAGACAGGAGGGAGGATGCTACCTTCATGGGGGTAAAAGATACCAGGGTTAGAACTTAGAATTGTGTGTTCTGTATGTAGGAGGCAAATTCACTGTAAGATTTGGTCTTTTGTATATGTATAGTGTCATTGATGTGTTGTTTACTACTCACTGAAAATTTGCCGGCTCCTTTTAGGCTTATCTAAGCTTTCGTTGTTCATGAGAATTACATTGGCATTCTGAAATTCATTCATGCCAAGAAAGCCAAAGTTGGGTCAAATGTTGGCATGGAGCTCGCGGACACCAATTTGGAGTTAAAATTAAGGAGTCACGTAAGGCTCCTTTATAAAATTAAGGAAACTTATACTACGCATCTAATAGGCATAAAATCCTTTCATGGATTAGTCATGAATTTGACAACCTTCCTTGTGCCATTCATGAACCCTTCAAGTTTCAAAAGTGGGACTATATTTTAAACACAGGAATTTGTCTTGCCTCAGCCCTCAGATAGCGGATGAGTTATATACACCCCTTCATATCTTTTTAAATATAGACTTTCGTCCCATCATTACTTGGGTTGTAGGCATTTGGTCCCAATAAAGTAACGTTTTTCTTGTAGAGTAGAATGGTAAAGAAAAATTTGAAAATTTTCTAATAAAACTAATTCCGCCCTATAAGATATTTTGTTCATCTAGTAACCTTTCCTTTTATGTTACAAGATGAAACATATACACGTATGATTCGGAATTAGAATAAATTTAGTTACCTAATTAAGTTAGTTGAAGTTAAAATAATCTTAATTAATATAAGTGAATTATATTATAGTGACAAAATATAGTCAAATGGAGATTGATTCACTTCAACAATTGAAATAGTATTTTCCTACTCAGAAATTTTGAGTATAAAAGATGAAAATGTAACCGAGAGAATATCAATCAATAAAGCTTTGTTTGGCATATGATTAAATACAGTTCAAATTAAAAAAAACTAGTTCAGTGTTTTTTGTATAATAAATATCAAATACAAAAAAAATGATATGAAAAATTAAGGCAAATCATTATTCATATATAAATTTGTCCATCACACAATTGAGTTTATATTAATCATATATTTAGTTTTGAGATCAAATTCTAAAAGATTATGCTTCGAGATGTTTGAGATCATTGGACACTCGTTGTCTCGTTCACACATCATACTATTCCCGTCCGTTTTAATCTCAACATGTTGAATTTTACACTATTCACATGCTCTACTTTGACTACATTTTACTCTATTATTTTATGAAAATTATTATTATTTTTTAAATATTGTTCAATTCATCTCATTACAAATATTCAAAATCTGATTTTTAATATTTTTTTACTAATATAATTAAAATATAATTATGATCAAAGACATGCGTTGATAAATGTGAAATGTTTATCGTTTCAACTAAAAAACGAAGGGAGTATATACTCGGGAGTATATTACATGAATGTGATAGTACATTATTATTATTGAGTATTTTACAAGAGAAGAATATTATCGTAGTTCCATATTATCAAAGTCTAAAAATAATCTTGTACTACCGTCCTCTCATAATTTACTTCCCTAATACAAATGACACACAAATTAAGAAAGTGAGTTTTGTGTGGTGAAAAGTTGTGCAGAGGAGATAAATGTGTAAGAATGGTTGTGAACCATAAATTCTTTGTCAAAAAAGGAAAGAAATTCTTTTTGGGACGAACAAAAGGGAAAATTGGAAGGAGTTTGAGGGATAAAAAACAAAAAATCATATGCCGGAGTGTCAGACTCAGAAGCTCACCGCAATCGGCCGTACAAGATAAGAAATTAATTTGGTATAAATCCATAAATCCCGTGGGGTCCGCAATGCATCTTCTTCAAGAAAAAATTCTCCACGCGTCACATCGTACGGACACAAAAGCACGTGCTACGCGATTTGCCGCCTTCATCCTCTACTCCGAATACGTACTTTTATACGCGCATACTCATCGCATACGGTATACTCACTGCTTGCTAAGCTGCTATTTCCCTCCCTCCACTCTTTGTGTGCTTCTATTCTTCTGCTATATAGCCCCAGCAGTACCATCTCTACATATTCGGGAATCGCCATGAATTTCGGCGGCTGATGTATAATGCGGAGTGATACAGTGATGATCGAGAACTCGAGTGTTACAGAAATGGCGGAAGAAGAAAAAGAGAGGAAGAAGAGGAAGGAGAAGCCGCCGGAGGACGACTGCTGCCCCATTTGCTTCGGGGACTTCGCCGTTGCTTGTATGACTAATTGCGGCCACTGGTTTTGCGGTATTAATTTAGTTCCTTATTATGGTTTAATCCTTCAATTATTTTAAAATGAATCTAGCTTTTATTTGTGCAACCTTCTGTTAGCTTATTTATTTAAGCTCCTTGTTGACAACATCATATCAAATCCTTCAAAAGTTTTTAGTCTCATTTTTTCCCTTTAGAAATTGTGATTCCTTGGGTATTCCGTATTTGTTCTGGCAAAAACATCTTGATCGCCATGCTTCAATTTTTTTGTATACTTCAGTGATTCCAAGCTGTATATTTCAACAGCTGAGCGAAGTAATCAAAACTGCTACTTCTTATTTGTGCAATACTATAGATTTTGCTCTGTCATATAGTTATAGCGCCTTGTTAATTTGATTTCTGTTCAATCGTGCAGTTATGTTCAACATTTTGGCTATTTTTTGTTAAAATCCACGCCTGGGTTTTTTTCTGCGTGAAACCGACCGTGTTACCCTCCTAATTTCACTTGGGAGTTAGGGTCCCATTCTAAGCCCTCAAAGTGTTACCCTCTAAACCCCACCAAAGCCGTCCATCCAAACCGACCGTTAGATTACACATAAATGAAGTTACCCAGACTACACGGCAGTAGTTCTTGGTCTACCACTTACCATCCCCAGAATGATTTTTACGAAAGCGGTTGTGGGCATGATGATCCCTTCATCTCATAGTCGAGATAGTAGGGTACCTGGCCTATCTTAGACGTTTGATTAGTGAGCGTTGCATCTAGACTGGTGGACCAATGTTGAAGTAACCGGAGCCATGGGACACACTATTGTGGTAGCCAAAATGGCGAATTCCCTTGCTATGCTCCAATAGTCCTCTTCTTGTAGAGGAGCAGGTGTGGCCTGAGTATTTTATGTATCATGAACAAACAAGTTGCGGTTCATGGTCTCTTATCACTTTTCCAAACACAGGAAATTGCATTTTGCAGCTGTGGAGGTATAGAGGAGCACTTAGAGCTTGCAAGTGCCCCATCTGCACTTGCTCCATCACCCAGCTTGCACCGGAGGCCTCACTCCTTTTTCAACAGGAAAAGGACGTTGTTGACCTCCTTAAGGGCATCCACTGCTACAATCGCCTCTATGTAGGTGGAATGCGCGAGATTGTGTTGGTATGTAGTTTTCTAAGTTGTTTCTGCCTCCATTTTTTGAATACCCATTAATGTATTTTTCCTTGACAGCTTCTATATATGTCTCTCTCTCTTTCCTTCCACAGAAAACACCTTTGTTGCTTAGGAGTGTCCTATGGACACTGATGGATATACTACTGGATCCTCATCAATTAAGGTTAAACTATAACATGATGCGTGTCATGGCTGTAAGTCCAAAGACTAATTCTATCCATACTTCCCCCATTAAACTATAACATGATGCTTTGTCGTGATTTTTTAATTCCTCCTCTCCTCTCCTCTCCCCTCCCCTCTGAAATCCCCAAACAAACAAGCCCTTGGACTACCAACACAAAGTTTTGAGATCACCTATTTACATTGTGGATGGGTTTACTTTTTAATAAATAGTTCCATATATGGGTATTGCTAAAAGGGAATGTCATGACAGATTCTAAATATCGAGGGCTAAGGCGTCTTGCCATTGTTTTCATTGAGTCAGATTTGATCTCACAATTGGAACTACAATTTCTGCTGTTCACTGGTATAAGTATAACAAACAGTCATTCATCTCAAATATTGACTAGTTTCTATTGCAGCTATTGGTTGGTTGGATCTATAGCAAATGCCACTTCGACTTCATCCCAACAGGTGATTTTTAAGTTAATAGCAGTAATAATAATATGAAGTTAATATGGCATGTTTATACATGACAGAAGAGGGTTTATGTTTGGCAGGGAGACTGGGAATATACGCGGTGTTAGATAAATGTGCTGTGATTGTGGTCGTCGTTTTGTTTTCCATTGGCTTATACCGGAAATGGATTAGAGGGCGACGCATCAGGAGGTTTGCTGTGGAACAACAAGCTATTAGAATTTGACACAAAATGTTCTTACTGCTGCTGCTGAAGTTTATTGCATATATGAAATGCTAGTCTTGTTAATACATACGGAGTATTACTTATTAATCTACCCGCCTAAGTATGACAAACTCTTCACCAGTACACAATTAATGTTTTAAATATGGAATGCTTGTGACTGGCTATTTATCACGTAGTCTTGTTAATACGTATTACTTCGTCGCTAAGCATGTGAAAGAGCCCATGTGAGTCATCTGAGCTGAAATATTGATACTTATTTAGAGAAGAACCTGAGTACTTATTTACGTAGTTACATGTACGTCGATGAGGAGGGTTTTAGTGAGATTAGTGAGAATTCTTATAATGGAAAATTTTAATCCTAACCTTTCATTTTATTCATTCAATCATTGGTAGGATGGTAGGATGCACATAATTACGTAATTATTCAAAATTCAAATTGGATATTATTTGTAATTATTGTAAAATTATCACAAAAAAGTCACCTTTGTTGATTCTAGCCCTTGAGGTAGAGATAACATGTTCTCTTTTATACATGAATTCTCATTTTAAAAGGAAATTTCATTAGAATCTCCTTTACAAAGATTAATGTCAAAATATGGCTAATTTGAAAAGATAAGAAAAGAAATAAGGAAACTACAAGGATAAGTTATTAAAATAAAAAAGCTAAAATAAAAATAAAGATAAATATAAAATAACAGAACATAAGAAAGATAAGAAATATTATACAAGAATTAAGAATGATAAATAAGATAAAAAAAGAGATGAAAGATCAATCCTCCAAAGGAATATTTGCCCTCCACATGCCACAGCTCCACTTAGGGATGGACTCTAGGCCGGGCCTTTTTTTTTTTTTTTTTACTTTTTTCAATTTTTTTATTTTTCTGGGTTGGGCTGGGTGTTTTGGGCCATTTGGGGGTGGGTTGGGGGTGGGGGTGAGGGGGATTAATTACAAAATTAAAAAGGGGTGGGGGTGAGGGGGGATTAATTACAAAATTAAAAAAAAGGAAGTGGCCCGAGGCCCGGCCAGACCCGGACCCGCCAGCCACCCGGGCCGGTTCCGGTTCACACATTTTCAAATAAAAAGCCCGGCCGGGCCCAGGCCCGAACCGGCCCGAGTCCACCCATAGCGCCACTTAATATAATACGAGAATTTTAATAACGGAGAACATGAGTAAAAAAGCACTTACTTGAATAGCTATTGAAGTTCATTTATCTCTTGACAAATACAAATATACTAGATTACTAGTACAATGCAAACGAAATTCCAACAGAACCCTTCTCTGTACATGGTTCTTGTTTTCTTGTTTTATTTTTTATCTATACACAATTTATCTGTTATCCACAACACTACATATATGTACATATAAACGATACACCCACAATTGTATCTATTCACAGCTCTCCTACTAAACATGCATACCAAGGACCATGGACATTGACAGTCACATTTGCTGCCACCAGCAACACAGTAGCCGCTTCCACCATCTCCTTAACCAGAGCCCCTGCCCCCACCTGTCGCAACGCATTTTCCGCCAATCTCTTCCCTTCTTCCCCGCCACCTCCCAGCAAAACCCCTCTTGCAGCCATGTATACGGCGCGGGCCACCCGAATGAATACCGGGTCCTCTGCTTGTAGGCTTTTAGACAACATCCTACCTGTGATGTTTTTCATACTTTGAAGCTTTGCCATGTCAACACAGTTGGCGTCTTCCAATACTTTGGACAATGTCTCAATGATGTCATGAATACCAGCTGCATCTTTAACGGAGTCCAGAAGTTCAGACAGTCGCTTCACGCTACTTAGGGTTACAATCTCCATTTCTGTGGGATTTCCTACCATTTGTAGGCTCACAAGCGTCTGCCGTAGCACTAGAATGCTGCATATATTTATTTAAACTTTTTTATAGCCATTTAAGCGGGACCAATGAAAACCTAATACTTGGAAGTACTACATATTAGATTACATATACAATAACTGGGGTGGGGGTCAGGCTTCTCTGGCAACCCCGCCGGACAATGAGATAAATCAGCATAGGTTACACATCTGAATAGATCAATCTTGTAAGCAAGACAACAAAATTTTTGAATTTTGAATGGTACGGAAAAGTAATTCATTCATACTCCCTCCGTTCCTAAAAATTCTTCCCGGTTTGACTTGGCACGCTTATTAAGAAAGTTGAATAAAGTGGAAATGTATGGTTGTGGTTGTGTAAGAAAAAGGTAAAATGAATGTGAGCCACACAAATTGTCCAAAATGGGAAAGTGGGAAGTATTTTTGGGAACAGCCCAAAAAGGAAAGTGGGAAGTATTTTTGGGAACGGAGGGAGTATAAACTTTTACACAAAAAATTCACATGAAAAAAGGTTCTGGACTAGGGTGGGCCTGGGCCTGTATTACTCCCCTATGTAAGCCTCTAGAATATATATTATGTAAATGAGTTAAGCGCATGCATATATTATTACCTCGTAGCAATTACAATGATCTTTTGAATGTTTGCTTGGATGCCCCTTAGCCTAAGGAGATTGAGCTTCAGAGTTTCAGGCAGCCCTTCTTGAGTCAGACCAGTTATCCCATTCACTAATTTCAACAAGCCAAGTCTCACAAGTAAATCGATCTTATTTCCATTGCATTCTGAAGAAAGAAACATTATCAAGAAGATTCAACTGATTTATTGGATTTGACCATTGGGAAAAGCGGTGGATGGGCAGGTGATTCTAAAGTTTAATGTACCTTTTAAATCCAAAGGAGTAGATGAAGATGCTGGTTTTTGGTTTCCTGGAGTTTCGATGGTAAAGCTTCCTCCAGTTCGAAGTGAGGTAGGTGGAATGAACGTTTGATGTTCACTATCCTGCCCTCTTAATTCAGCTAGCATATTTTTGTGTTCATTCCATTCCTGATCAATGCAGTCCTTTACAGGCAAAAGCCATTGCATTGTCAAGGGTAAGGAAGTAATCGCATCAGAGGGAGGCCCATAATGCCTGGCAAAAGCTTTACCTAGGAAATCAAATCCAGCTCCCCCCTTCAAAGCCGGTTCCAACATTCTAATGCGGGCTTTGCTTACATCTTCCTTTAGTTCCTGCCAGGGGAAATAGCAGTTTTACATTTTTATATTTCTTTGTGTATTATAATTAATAAACAAACAAAATGAGTTGCACGTATCATTTATTTTCTCTCTGACTTTCTTTCCCTCTCATTTTCCTCCGTACACGGGCCCCAAGGGTTCTTACCTGGATCTTTTCCAACACAAAGCGCAAACCCCTAATCAATGCAAAGATAACTGGATTTTCTGACACATAACCATCAGAGTGACAAATATCAGCCAGCTCTGTCATCAACTTCTGCTGACTTATCTTTAGCTCATCTTCCTTGACAGGGGCAGCCAATTTCTGTATGATACCCAGCATGTACTCCATTACTCTTCCCAGATAAGCTATGTCAAGCTTTCCCGAGTTTAATACCTAAGATTTGAGGAAAATCAGTCACAATGCCTGCTAATTTAAAAATAAATACATAGAAAAGATTAAGAGAAAAATTATCTATCATTTGTAACCTGAAAAAGAATGTCAGTATCAATAGCTTCTGTAATATCTTTTCTCCAACTCTGAGGAGCCATGGTGCAAAGTTCATCCCTTGCCTCTCTCATTAGGTCAACAATACAGCTAAAGTTAGCTTTCTCCTTCAATGACTCCATGATGTTGTCCCAGAATGCCTTCTCCATTGTCTCTTTTACCTTTGCCTGCATAGTAACAACCGATTGAACTTCTCACTGTATGTATATAGCTTTATCTATCTCTAGTTTTTCCCTTTAAGATAGATAATAGGGTGCCGATTCAGTCCCTTCACTATATAATATCGCTCACTTCAATCCCACCTTACTTTGGAACAAATAAGGTCTTAATTAATTCTGAAGGGTATTTATATCTGCTAGAGGACCAAATTGATTAATAGCATAAAAGGACTACAACAATAATCAACTTTAGACAATGCATACAATGGAAGTTGCCAAAGGAACACAGACCTTGATAGAAGCTTCAAGCTCACTTCTAGGAGTAGACGCAAATTCAAGATGCTGGCCATGTACACATTCATTTACAATCAACTCATTTTCGAAGTCCAGTCGCTCACCACCAGAGCATCGTAGGTCTTTAGTGCTAAGGGAAGAAACACTAGATATTTTTGGTTCAGGTTCATCCCTAAACAAGGACCGCACAACATGGCTAGGCCTCAGACTATCACCACCCCCCTCTGCAAAGTGCTTTTTTCCCACTGTTGCACCAACATAGGAAGGTGAAGGACTCGAGGCGGGGAACTCACTTTCTCTATCCTGGAAATACTTCCGGCGTGTTTCTGAGAGCGCATTTTCCATACGCTCAATACCAGCATCTCCACTCAGATGATGCACTTTCTCCCTCAATAGTCTCTGATCTTCAGTAACCTGCATCACACACATAATTCAAAGGCTCTAAGTTACCCTTTGACGAGTATCCCACATCAGTTTTCTACTAGGTCTATTCGGGTCAGTATGTGTGTGATGTAAACACCTCCTGAGGATTCTACTGTTCTGTTACGTATCCCATAGAAATTGTAAACTGAATTTTAGGTCAACTATGTAAATGAGAGTAAATTTACCACCCTATTATTCTTATGGGATGAAGGCGATTTAGGCCCAATTTAACGTCATGATACATCCCAGAAAGGTTTTTAAAACTGAAAAATGATATATAAGGGCACACCTGTTTCTGGATGGCCTTCATATCAGGTGTAAGAGGCGGACCACCATCACCTTTGGGGCTCATCTTGCAATACTGAATCACAGAGATTTCAAGCTGACAAGCAGCTCTCACCAAATCTTTCTCCAGAGATAGAGCATCTTTAGCCTTCCACACCACAAAGCTATTCAAATAGGAACACCATGCAGAATCAAAAGCTGCAAGCTGTGACCTGAAGGTTTTGAGTCCTACTGTCGACTCATCAGAAGTCCGTATTGGCCCATTCAGTATTACTCTGATCAACAATTCAAACTCCTGGACAAATTTCTCAGCGGATGTGGTTAGAGCAACCTCACGCACACCTTGACCACTTAGAACTGCATCAGGATGACCTAATATCATGTAGGCACAGAGCACAACTCTGACCTGGTAGCGCGAAATCTTAACAACCGTAGTTCTTATAGGTTTTTTGCAAGAATCCATTTTCTTTGCATCCATTACTTTCTTCCTTGG